GTTGTGAAAAATCTGTTGGCCTAGATAAATGTGTGCTCAGAGTTTTCCTTTCTCTAAATTAAGACCTTGCTCCCAGACGCCCAAGAATTCATTAAGCCATAATTAGCCATGATCACTGATGATTTAAAATACTATAATAAAGAGGAAGTTTATATTGAGCTCTTAAGGCACCATTGGGTCTTTATAGCTTTAGTTTTAAAATAAGTTTTCCATTTCATCTGATGTCTGCCTTTTCTCCACTCAGCCCTTTTCACAAACAAGGGACCAGCTGTCTTCCATGTTCTCAGTGCTGTAGGCACTGAGACATCTGTCCCAGCAGCATCAGAAAAAACTACTGTATCATCTCAGCCCAATACAACAGTTATGAGGTCATAGGCTTTCCAGTAAAAAGGGCTCACTGTGCCTGTCATCAGTGAAAAGAGACAGCAGGCGCGTTTCAAAAATGTTTTGCTTCAGCTAACTTGGAGTACCCCAGGAGAGGTGATTCTCCCATTATCCTGTTAGCTGAGGTGGTCAAAGAAATTATCTTTGGTTAGTTGCCTAACCTCAGATGGGGCACAAAGCAGTAGCTCTGAGATCTGAAAAAACTTTCTTTGCCTTCGGAATGCATTCTACTGCTTGGCTGTCTAGGCACCTGCTTAGCAATCCTAAAGCCATCTCTTCTACTCTCTTGGTGCCTGACAGAGGGACAGGGCTCACCTTTCCCACTTTCCTAAATAAATCCTGATCCCTGAAGTAGAACAAAGAGTCCCCTTGATTCTTTTATCTGTCACCTGCATTTTATCTCTGTTATGTTGGGTTTTTGTTTTGTTTTTTTCCGGTACCGGGGATCGAACTTGGGACCTTGTGCTTGTGAGGCAGGTGGTGGAACCACTGAGCTAAATTCCCGGACCTCTGCTATATTGTCATATCAAAAGATGTATCCCAAAGTGTTTATTTAGACTTAAGGTTTTTATTTGTGTCATTATCAGTGACATTGTTTGTATGTCTCTCATTGCCATTGGGCTGGGTTTTATGGTGACTTTTATTTGTGCCTGAGTTTTATTGTAGCTCTTCTGTGGCTACTCTTTTTTAATAATAATGTTTTCCTATCTAACCATAGATATACAGTATCTCTCCATTGGGCTGGTGTCAATATGATGTTATTGTGAGCAGATTTAAGTAAGATAAACTTAACTAGGAAGTGTTTGCTTGTTAATTTTATTAGGTTAATGATTAGGGAACTGCACTGTACCATATTGAAAAGTACACAAGCTATGGAGTCAGATAGCTGCAGTTGACACATTCTACTTACTAGTTATGTAACTTAGCGATTGTTGCATAGTATTTCAGTATATGCAGTTTCCAGAGCTCAATCACTGTTAATTTTCTTTATGATGAAAATGAATGTTCTTTTGGTGTGAATGTATGTAAATTTCCCAAACTCCACTGGATCATAGGAAGCTATTTGGGTACATGGCATGGATGAGATAATAATCCACTTTATGGTGCTTCAGGGTTGCCAATCGATGGGGCTTTTGCATTGTTGTCATTTCCACCATCCACTCAGTTCACCTCATCAACCCAAGAGGGAGAAGCAGCAGCAAACACTGCATCATCAATCACTGTTGCATTTCACCAAAATTCTGAGCCAAAAATATGTATTTTAAACTACATGTTTGCTCGTCTTGAAGGGCTGGATTATAAACTGTTAGAAATCAGGGACCATTAAACAGCCATTTTCACTTGTAGTGGATTCAGCAAATAATCATTTTTGAGACTGGAAAGGATGTGCTTGTGAATGTCAAGTGAAGTGCCCTAATCTAACCCTAAGTTGGTAAGCATGGGCCCTTCCCTGCACTCTGTAGCCAGACTTAAGTAGCCCTTATAAACCCGTAGCATTTTGCACCTATAACTAGTGACCGGGATGGGAGTGTCCCACATTGATCCTAAGGCATTCAGTCAGTGGGCTTCAGTTATATCTGGCCTGCTAGAAGCCTCTTTTCAGGGAGGACCCTAGTGCCTTCTGGGAGATTGTTTGTTCTAGGGAAAGGAATACCATGCTCAGCCAACTGAACCAGAAATTGGAAGGGAGGAGTGATTTCACATGTGTGGAATTTATTTTCTTGGCAGCTCACACTCCAGACACTGGGCAGGGAGCAAGACATGGGCAAGGAGGAAGTGTGGGTTGTTTGCCAGTAACAGGAACTGAGTAGAAAATAGAAATGGTGGTTTCATTGTCAAAACATCTTAAGGCTTTAGAACAAAAGTAATGTGCCCTTGGTACTATCTTTGAAGGTCACATCTCCCCAAAGGATGGATGGAGAGAGGCTACCAGAGCCTGGGGCCATGGGCACAGGGGCAGTGGGAGTGCTCAGTGCAGAGTTGGGGAGCCCAGCAAAAATGGTAGCCATCAGTTGAAGAAGTGGCTCTTCATCAGACCAAGGAAGCAGAGAGGCCCCTTGCAGGCAGCCATGGTTTAACCGGCAACCAAGAGCTGATAATTGGTGCCATGGAAAGTGACCAGTGCATGAGAGGGAAGGGCTCGTGCCAGGTGGTCTTACCTGTGGGCTCACCTGTATACCTGCCTCACAACTTCCAGAAATACTAGAGGAGAGAACCTAGTGAGGTAATGGTACTGGCATTACAGATAATGGTCAGTCCAGTATGTGCCATGCCCAGCAACTCTGTTCTGCGAGAATGAACTGTCTCTTGGAAATGGGCAGGCAGTAAGTCACTCAGCTCCTAGTTTGAAAAGACACCATTCTGGTGGGTCTAATGGAGGTGTTCTGGGAAAGTCCTGGGAGAAGAAAACATTTGATGAGGAGGAAAGGTGCTACTTCATAGAACCACTTAGATGCAAACTTTTTTTTAAAGTGTATTTTGTATTCATTCAATTCATTCCTTCTTTATTGTGGTGCAGGGTTTCAAACCCAGGGCTTTGCACATGCTAGGCAAGTGCTCTATCACCAGCTTCATCCCTGGCCCTTTTAAGTGGAACTTAAAGTAACCATGTTCTCAGTATTTCTTAGCCCTGAATAATGTACAGAATGTTTTTAAAGAATATGTGATTTGAATGTATGTAAACATAAGTCAGGTCTAAACTACATGTGATCATACTTTTATACAACCAGAAACAAAACATGTATAAATACAAAAAGACCTCCACATTAAATAGAAATAAATTAATAATCTCAATGAATCATGCTGATTTGCTTAAATGAGGCGCTCTACAAGGCAGGAATACAGTGTGGATGGATACATGTGGAGTTTTTGAGTTGAGAAAGCTTCTGCAATCTGTCATGCAGGCTGCTTCATTCCTCCCACCCCTCTTCATTTTATTGCTTAAAACAGAACCATTCTTATGGCCAACCTGTCCTTGATTTGCTTAAATTGGAGAACTTGCTTCTTTAGTACTTACCAAGGAGAAATTGCAATCTTTGCAAGAGCCTGCTTGGATTTCCAGCACTTGAAAGTTATTCAGGGTACAGACTGTGATGAGAAGCAAGTTCACTATGAAAACATAGGGGGTTTTTTTGCAAAATGAGTGACTGCCTGATATTTTCCAATGAACTTGTGTGGCTCACTAATGTTACATCACCACATAAAGTTTCCAAAATTCTTTGAGCCTCAAGAAAAAGCATCTGCTCATAAAATCTTTCTACTTTGCCTTATGCACTCATTGTATGTAGGGAAAAGAGATAAAGATGAGGAGGGGCTTCAACTCTTTACACTGCTCAGGCTGAAATCATCCCAGGTGCTGTGATTCGGGAGCGGGGGGAAATCAGATGCTTGTCTATGCTTTGTGGTCTTCAGGCTTTACAGACCTCACCATCTGCTCATTCTGTACCTTGATGTCACACCGTAGCTAATGCTCTCCTCAGACCCCAAACCTTTCCCTTTTCAGAGGATGCAATGTTGTCCAGTTTGGGGGATAAAACAATTCTCTTTTTTTTCTTTTGTCTTCTGTCTTTTCCTGGAGAAAAATGAGTGTATAGCAGAGGCTTATTTCCAAGATCCCTGGTGCAGAGCCTGAGGGTCCTGTTGAATTGGCTTCTTTGCTCTTTGGTATTTTGGCTTCATCTTTTAGTGCAGAGGTGCTATGAATCTTCAGGTGCCAACTGCAGTCCTGAGATGCAGTGGCTGTTTACCTTCCTGCCCTTATTCCTGTCCCCTCCTCTTCATTGTGCCACCTCAGTACCTGTTGCTTGGGACACGGTTGCTATTTCTAGCCATAGTCAACACCTCTGGCCACTCCTTCAGCTGTTCTTTGCTGCTCTCTCTCTTCTCTCCTCTCTGCTTTTCTTCTCTCATTAGTGTTTCTCAGCTCTTGGTTGAGTGAGTTCTCCTCTTACTCTACTACGGCTGCTAAAACAAAATGTCATAAGCTGCATGACTGAAAAACAATAGAAAGTTATTTCTCACAGTTCTGGAAGCTGGGAAGTCCAAGATCAAGATGTTGGCAGATTTGGGTTTTGGTGAGGGTTGCTTCCTTGTTCATACCAGGTGTCTTTTAGCTATGTCTTTACAGGGTGCAGGCGAGGAACTCTAGTCTTGCCAGCCTCTTACAAGGACACTCATCCCATTTTCAAGGCCTCCCCCCTAATGCCATTGCTTTGGAGGCTGAGGTTCAATATTGGACTTTTTGGTGGGGAGGACACAGACATTCAGAGCATAGTGACCATCCAATCAGAGCCGTGCCTTTTCTTTGTTCTCAGTGGCTGACAGATGAGTCTCAGTTGGTGTGGGATCATTTGGTGGCATTTTCCTCTTACTCAGAACAGCACAAGGACAGGACAAGCTGTTACGGTGTCGAGTGATTCTGAGCTCCAGAGAGTGCCGTGGCTACAGAGCTGGCAGGTCCTGGAATCGGCACCTTCTTGCAGAGGAAGCTGCTGCCCAGTCCTCTGTAAATGCAGGCTCAGAGCAGCAGCACCTTCCCTGGAGACCAGGATGGGGATCACTAAGAAGCCTCTCTTCTCTCATGTCCCGTCTTTGCTTTTGTTTGTCACCCTGGACAGGACTCTCCTTCAGCAACTCCAGAAACTTCAGACTTTGGTGATGGGCAAGGTTTCTCGGACCTGCAAGTTGGCCGGCACGCAGACTGGCACCTGCCTCATGGTGAGTTTCCCAAAGGGACAGCTTAGGAACTGCTTCTGTCCTGTCCCCTGTCTCTGGCTCTCCCACCAGGGGTGGTGGAGAGACCATGCAGCCTGCTCTGGGGGTGTTGCCCTTTGTGTCATTACCATGAGGCGACCAGAGGGCGTGTCTGCCTCCTTCCCAGGCCTATGGGTTTGCCCTGTGGAGATTGCTTGGAACCTACAGCACGTGTGTTCTCTCCTCCTCCTCCTCCAGGTTGTTGTGCTGTGCTTCGCAGTTGCATTTGGCAGCTTATTTCAGGGCTCTGGGCCCTATCCTTCTGCCACCAAGATGGCTCTGCCCAGCCAGAGTTCCTTGCCGGAGCCATACACAGCCTCCATCGGTAAGACTCACTCCGCCACTAGGGAAGTGTCTTCTTTCTTTTCTTTTTCATGCTTGTTTTCCCAGCTTTCTGAAGGGAATCTTATATGAAAGTCCAGTTTTTAAAAACTAGAGTTTCTCCACTTGCCCATGGAGGGTTCTGGAACCGAGGCTGCCCCTTCCTTTGAGGCCCAGCAATGCTGAGGCAGTGCTGAAATTCTCCAGAGTTCTGCGGAGCGAAGTTTGCAAACTGCTGCTGCAGACCTTGTTCTCTCATGAATTCTGACAACTTTTTTAAGTTCTGATGAGGGAGCAGGATATGAATTTTAGGGAGTGGACAGTAACTTTAGAGAGTAAGCCTTGAATAACATTTTAAGAGAGCTCCTGTGTTTCTCCCTGCACTGAGTGGAATTGTATTTTACCACACTAAAAGCTTGTAAAATGAAATTAAAGAATCAGGCTGTCTTACAAAACATTATAGCCAAGACTTAGAGAATTTGAGACTCGGATGTTAGTTAAGAAGTGTGTAGTATTCTCACCTAATGATCTAAGTATGTAGGAAATAAAAAAGTGACAAATAGGGCTGGGGATTTATCTCACTGGTTCCGCCACTTGCCTTGCAAGTGCAAGGTCCCGAGTTCGATCCCCAATACCAAAAAAAAAAGTGACAAGTAAGGAATGCATATATGAATACACACTTGTGGCCATAAAACGAAGCATGGAGGTAGGAGATGCTGACATTGGAATAGGGATAATTTTGCCATCTGAAATGCCAGGTGTATCCCTTCCTTGTGAAAAACAAGAGGGCCAGCATTCCATTCAGATTACTTCAGTGGACTGTTGGGAAGCTCTTTTTCCCTAAGGGGATATCTCTAAATGTTGGAAGCTAATGGGAACATAGTTTTTATGTCAAGGAAAAATTGCTACAGGGCCATCTAGCTATGTGACTGTTCTATAAAGCAGAAGAGATTATCTCCGTCCTCGTCCTCTGATTTATGGCTTGGCTTTGCCTCTCTCCAGATTCTAAATGAAAAGCTCTTGTACCTTTTCTCCCTCCCTACAAGACCTACTCACTGGGGATGCTTTCCTGATTGGGTCTGGACATCCATCCATTGCTTTCCCTAGATGATTATGGGTGGGTAAGGAGGGGAGTTTTATTTTCAAAGCAGTGGGGGTGGTAGTTGGCTTCATGTTTATTTGCTTTTCTCTTGTTCTTCTAGAACTGTGTAATTGGTATAATTTTTCAATGCACAAACTTAAGCTTTTACAGAAAGACTTTAAAGAAAGATTCAGTTGGCATTCTCAGTCCTAGGCAACAGAACATATCGGTTGTTAATTTACCACTGGCCCTGGGCATTTTAGTAAGGGGGGTACATACAACAATACATATAATCAGGATTCCTGTGGCCTTTGGCTGACACCCTGTTACTTTGCTCTGTCCTCAGTGAGATCCAGGAACCTGCTGATCTATGAGGAACATTCTCCCCTGGAGGAACCATCCAGCCCAGCCTCCACCGGGGAGCTTGGGGGCTGGGAGCGAGGCCCCTCCTTGCTCCGAGCATCAGGGCTGGAGTCCTTGTCTGATGTGGATCTTCCCCATTTCATTATCTCCAATGAGACCAGCCTGGAGAAGTCAGTGCTGCTGGAGCTGCAGCAGCACCTGTAAGTCCTATACATGCAGATTTGGATCCTTTGGTGTGAGGGTGAAGGGTACCAGTCAGCAATTTGGTGTGGGCTGTGGACTCTCCCAGAGGCCTCCTGCAGTTCCTCCTCTCTGGGGACCCATTTTCAGGGCCTGGACTGGAGAGAATGTGCTGCTGGCCAACAGCTGCCCCGAGCAGGGAGACGCCCACCATGAGCTCCCGAAATCACCTAAAGCAGCAGATAGGGGGTGGCAGTGGTGGCCCCAATGCAAGAGGAGGGGTCCTGAATCCCAAATCTTCTCCTGCACTATCTTCACCATCCCCGCAAAGCCCTGAAGTGAACACGCAGCCAGGGTAGCAGCAGAGTGCTTGCTGTGTGCACGCACCTTCTCTAGCATCCTTCCAGCTAGAGAGTAAGTGAGGGCTGTGCTGTCAACATAGATTCATGATTTGTGTTTCAGCTCACATGTACCAACTGTAACTACAGGCAGAGTGCCTTTATTTAGAATGCTTGGGACAAGAAATGTTTTGGATTTCAAAGCTTTTTCAAATTTTGGAGTATTGGTATATACATAATAACAAAACTTAGTTTAAGCACATATTCATCTGTTTCATATATGCTTACTCTCACAGCCTGAAGAGAATTTTATGTAATGTTTGTAGCGTGCCTGAGTTTTGTCTGTGCCCCGCCACGTGAGGTTGAGTGTGGAGTTTTCCACTTGTGGCATCACACTGGCACTGAAAGAGTTCTGGATCTTAGGCCGGGGATTTAGCTCACTGGTTTCGCTGCCTGCTGTGCAAGCGCAAGGACCCGAGTTCAATCCCCGGTACCAAAAAAAAAAAAAAAGAGTTCTGGATCTTGGAGCATTTCAAAGTTTGGATTTTCAGATTGCGTATGCATAACCTGCATACACTCAGATATCTATACTGAGGGGCCATGTTTGAGAAGCACTGTGGATGCATATGCAGAATCTGTTCCCATATTGGAAATACACTAGATTTGGCTCTGGTTATCCAGGAGTGGTTTCTCTTAGATAATTATGGAGGAGGAATCTCGTTGTAAATGTAGAGGCTGATAGGACCACAGGGGCTTGTTGCTGTGAGAGGAGGCAACTGGCTATGCCGGTAGCCCCAGAAGGAGGGCTGTACACATGTTTCCAGTGATGTGCATATGATGGGTGATTGCCCTTGGTCTTCCTAGAAATGAGGCTGCTCCAGCAACATAGGAAGGATTGCATTTCCGATTCTTCAGTTTTCTCCCCCTAAACCTGTACAGGAAGAGTCATACATAACTGTATATATCCTCGTATATACATTTAGCATTGGCTAATGCTTACTATACTAGACAATAGTATATATGACTCCATAAATGTGCTGTCATATAAAGCCCATGAACTGCCTAAGAGCTAAAGTGTTATTTTTATTTTCATTATGGAGAAAATCCAAAGTCACCACTAGACTCCTCTAGAAACTCAGCTGCTGATTACCTATTTCGGAACACAAGCCTCTCTCCCAGCCCCAGTTAAGTCCCCCAGAGCTGGGTGGCCCAGAGGCTTTCTGGGCTGTTACACAATTTGATAATGTATTTATTTTCCATTATATGTTTACTTGTTATTTCAAATTAATTCATTTTAAAAGAATATTTATCTGGATTATTAGCTTTTCTACAGTAGAGATCAGCCTCATCCTTGCCCAAATTTAGTGTAGGGCTAAGCATCCTTAGTCAATTAAAAAACAAATTTAAAGGAATTTGTAAAAAAAGGGGTGGGGTGGAAAAAAGGAATTAAGATACATTATGTACAGGTATAAATTCCCCATGATGAATGTGATCATTACGTATAGCAAAGCTGTACTAATAAGAAAATTAATTTAATTAATTTTTAGAAACATACCCAGATCTCCGTGTTTGCTCACTGGGCTGGGATGCCTCCTCTTGGGCAAGGGACAGAGGTGGGACTGTGGCAGGCTGGTGGCAGGGGTTTGGGGAGGAGAGAGTTACTACTAGGAAGGAGAAGTCAGCCTGGACCAGGCCACATGGCTGTGGCCTTAGAGAGAGTGTATCCTTCTGGGAAGCAGGAGAGTCGCAGCTGATGCTTTGTGGTCAATACTTCTTTCTCCTCTTCACATCTTCCAGGGTCAGCACCAAACTGGAGGGGAACGAAACACTCAAAGTTGTAGAGCTCGACAGAAGAGTGAACACCACCTTCTAGGAGGCGTCTCCAGCCCTCTCCTCTTACCTCTACTTTGTATCCCCCCGACCACCTCCATCATCAGCTTTGCCTCTTTGCCACTGAATCCGGACGAAGACCTGAACAAGCACTCGTGGCCGAGCAGGAGGCACTGGTGGTTTCCACCTGCGTGTGCCTGCCACTCTCCCCCTCTTTCTGTCATAGGAAGTTCTTTCAGGAGTAGACTGGGGTGGGACAAGGAAGCTTGGTTTCACCTGTAGTGCCAAAAAGATACTGCCTGACTCTACCCTGCAAGGTGTGACCCTCCTTGAAAAGAGGTGATTCTTATTCGACTGAGACCTGGACTCTAGCCACAAAATGCCACGGTGCCTGTTGGGATTTGGCAAAGCACTGACTCTTGTCTACCCGCTCTGGCTGGGTCTCCCATGTGAACGCCCCATAGCCTTGGGAGCGCCCAGGCACCATAGCAGCCCCCTCCCTCTGCTCTGCCCTCTGGAGCCTGGGCTGGCCTATCTCCACCCTGGCGTGGGTGAATGAGGGCTCCCCTTTGTATTCTCAGGCCGCAAGTGCAATGCCTAAAAGCATCAGGCTGTTCTCCTCCAGGCGAACCTGCCCATCTTCGTGCTTGTAGGACTTCTCCCCACCATCGGCCCGCAGACAAATAGTCCTCCCTTCCTGCCTCTCCTCCCGTTTGTAAATAGTATTTATTAGCTTGCTGAGGCTTCCCACTGGTGACCACACCAGGACAGTCCATGCCTCCCTCCACACTAGCGAAATCTTCTGTCACCTTTGGAACTAAGAAACCCCTGTAGGCACTGGAATTCCCAATATTTCCAGATAATTTTTTTGTTTCCTTCCTTGCTTGATTTTTTTTAATTGGAGGGCTATGTGATAATTATGATTGAGAATCCGCTTTAGCAGTTGTCCCTTGTGTGGACGCAGAGGGAATGACGGGCCCGTGCAGTGCTCAGGCCCGTGGCTCTGGCCGATGCTTTTTCTCTCTGGTTCCCATAACAGAGAAGGGAAGCCTGTCCCCAACAACAGGCATTTCTTCTCACTTGTCCTGCACACCTGTCCGGCTCCGACACTCCCCTGCTGTCTACTTCCATTCTGCCTCCCTCTGCTAGAGGGTTGGAACAGGGCAATTCGTACATCCGTGTTCTTACCTTTTATGGTCAGGTTAGGCTACTCTGCAGCTCACCCAAAGTGATATAACCTAACCCCCACTCTACTTTTATTTTTTTTTTAATGATGAAAAAAGTCACCTTTGTAGTTTAAAACCTTTTTCCTCTTTCATACAAATAAGATATGGAAATTGCCTTTTTATTGCAAAAGGTAGAAGATTCTTTGTGTTTTATTTTTCTTAGTTTATAAAAGATTTTGTGCAAGAAATGTGCTTACATTTGATATTTTATTTTTTAGTAGCAGCTGAAGGGGCTTTAGCTCCCCCCCACCCCATCTCATCATCGTCATCTGCATCATCATGGGAGCCTGTACTTAAGAGGGATTATGCTGTCCATCCCCTATCAGATACAGGATTTGGTGGCATTAACCTTTGCTGTCGTACCCTGTAAGCGGCTCCCTGCTTTGTCTGTGGTGGGAAATGGCTTTGTCCATCTTGTAGCTTATGAGAGCTGTATCAGGACCGCAGTGGTCTTGCAGCCTGTACCTGTCCCTCCCAGAGGCCAGGGCAGGCTCGGACATCGGGGCTGTGGGAGGAGGCGGGTGGCTGGGGACCTCTGCGTCCACTTCTTTCTGCTCCACTGTCTCAGGCTTTTGATCCTGCTGGCCCTGGCCGTTGCCTGGTAACCATGGGCCACAGCTGACCCAACCCCTTTCTTCAAAGTTTGGTTGCTTGTCGCTGAGGAAGACTGTGCATCCCCAAGAAGACAAAAATCCAGAATTATCTCACATAATGTTTAGGTGAGAAGAAAACAAGGCTTTCATGTTTAAGGCCAGAAGTGAGATCATAGACAGCCTATCTATCTGTTTCGCCTGGAGATATCGTGGGGGAAAACCCACTTTTCTGAATGAGGAGGGAGACGAACAAGGAAGCATCTCATCCTGGTCCTTAGTGCATTGAGGATTTTATTTTGTTCCTATTACCCTTGCTTCACACAGCTCTCTCCAGATGTCCAGATAGTAGGGCTTGTTTTCCTGGGAAACTGCTCTTCCAGAACATAATGTATAACTGGAGACGGGACATTAGCCAGAGGGCTGAAGACCCCTGTCCTCCATTCCTGGCTTGGAGGAATAAAGGGAACTAAACGGTGGTCCCTTCAGGACAAACTGGGGTCAACAGGGCACAGAGAGTTGGATAACACCAGATTGGTCCCAGATAATTAGTAGTTGTGTGCACAGTTTCTGTGCAAAGGTTAAGTCCAGCATATCCATGGATTTGTTTTCCCCTTGGGGTGAGCAGTCTGAAGGACCAGTCAGTAATTCATGGTTAGCACTGAAGTTTTCAAACTGTAGCAGATATTGGTGCCTGAACTTAAAGTTTTGAAAAATACAAGACTATTAAAGGAACCAGATGCCATAAAAAAGAAATCTGCTCATTCTACTTTCCATTATGTAAACAGGGCATCCCTCTTCCCTTTCTTTGGTTACCCTAGTAAAGGAGAGGGCTCACAAAGATTCAGAGAACAAGTAATTTTTCACTGGCTGAGACCTGAGGAAGCTCCTGGCCCCCAGAATGGTTCCTTTCACAGCTCCCAAATTTGCACTTGGAGACAGATACTGGAAAAAAATGTTCTATAAAAATCTGACAGCTGAACTAAGTTGCTCCTTTTTGGCAGGAGATGGGGAGTGAACTTGACATTGGGGTAGGCAAAATTAGATAACCTTTTCATGAATACAAATGATTTTGATTTAGAGACCTTATTTGGGAAAGCAGTGTTCAGTTCAACTTATTTACAAACCAGCTATACACACCAGATCCCTTTTCCTTATTAATCTCTCCATGAGGCTTGGATGCCATGAGGTGGCTGTGAATCTTACATACCTGTAGAATAGGAGTCTTGAACTGATTCTTCTTTATTCTGATACTGAGACGGTGCCCAGGATTTTTGTCACAGGTTTGTATTTAAAATGCTTTCTCCTCGTTTCATGGGCCCTCCCTCCTATGTCCTCAGACCAGGCAGAAACATAGGCAGAATCAGAGGCCACCCTGGGCCAGTACCCCCTGAAAACATGTGGCATCTGAGGTGTGAATGTGAATGCGGTCCAGAAACAGACACATCCCATCGCACTGCCAGGGGAGAAGTACACTGTCCCTGCTGGCCACGTTGCCCTGAGGGCATGGAGGTGGCAGGGAAAGCACTTAGCCACTGCCTTGTGTGCCACCGGTCACCTGTTTGTTTCTGTTGAGTCCAGTCTGGGAGGAACCTGGACTAGAGACTCAGACCTCTGCCTGCAGCCTGGCAGAACTGCAGAGCCCTTAGCAAGCAGTGCCCTGGTGAGGCCCACTGTATTTGACCACTTTCTGCTGAGACAGTGGGCAGATGTGATAGGATGAGTCCTCTCCAAAGGCAGGAGTGAGAGAGGGAAGGCAGTGAAGTGGGGCTGGAAGGAGCCTGAGGAAGATGTCAGATCATTCATTCGTTTAGTTACTCTGGTATGTTTCAGATTTACTAAGGAAGAGTGTTCCCCTTCCCCTAAGCCCTAGGAATACTGAAGAATCGAAGGGACCGAGAATACTTCATTTAATCAAAAACAATTCCAAAGATCTATGTGCTACTTCTGTGTCTCTTCCTCTGTTTCTCTGTCTCTCTGACACACATAGGCATTCCCTCTTATCTTACATACTTTGTGCCTCAAGTGTGCCTTATAGAAGAATCCAGGATGACTGAGGAGCCTCTTGTCCCTGGGAGATGTTCTGTATAGCCTTAGAGTGTTAGTTGAAGTGAATGTAGGGGAAAGAACTTTTTGGTTTCCTAAAAGTGAGCCACTATGAGCTTTGCACAACAGGAGAAAAGAAATTGCATTATATCCATTAGGAAAGTCCCATTTTGTAGAGGTGCAATCACATAAACATTGGACAGCCAGGATTAAAGGTATTGTAAATCCCCACAGAAGAGTATTTTCACAGTGCAAAGGAACCTGGCCTGGAAGATTAGTGCTTCGGGCCTCTGGGGCCAAAGGGGGAGCGCTTACCGCAGGGGACAGAAACTTGGTGTCTTCTTATTATAGGCAACATAAAATTCTAGAGTGCTTTGTTTTGTCTTGGTGTCTAGAAGGAAGGGACTCATTGTGCTCAATGAGTTGGAAGTCATTTAATGGTATAGACACAGAGAGCAAGCGTGGCCAGTTACCATGAGGAGGATGAATTACTAAGTGACTCAAGATTGCAAAAGTTTGTGACACGGACTGGGCAGACCCCTTTCTGAGGACATCTGTTAACTTTCCCAGCTCTTTCAGCAGGAAGCACAGCTCCTACCCACTGTGCTGGCCCCGCTGTGAAGCCTCAGTTCCTGCCTCTGCCGGAGTGTTCCCCGTCTCCTATCTTTTTCATCCCGTCTTCTGTGAGCTTCAGCTCGCAGGCTTTCCCCTGGGAAAAGGGACCCCAGGGTTTTCAGCTCTATTTCTCTGCCCTCATCCTTTGCTCACCAACTGGGTGAAAACATGAACTCTGTGCACCCATGGCCTTCACTGCTTAGAAAATCTCCCTCTCAGATAAAAGCGCCATGTGAGTCTATGGAAAACACAAGCACTCTCTGACACACTGTGAGTGATCCTTTATACACGGTGTGAACAGACCCTGGACTGTAATCATCAATGGGCTTTAATGTTTGTACTTACAGCCTGGTTTTCCTCTCTTGTAACAGGTTATATGGATCAGCAGTGCTTAAATCTAAGTACATTGTGAGTCTATCATCTGTTCTATTGTGCTGTTTTTTTTATGGCCTTTTGGTCTTTTATCCTAGCTAGATAAGTAACCCCCCCCCCAAATGCTTTGTAGAACACTTGTACTTAGTTTGAAAACAATAAATCAAAATTGTAATGCATTTGTATTTCCATTTCCTGCAAATAAATATTTTTCTTAAATAGTAAAATGGTGCCCAGTCTTTAAAATCCCTGTGATACGTTTTTAAAAGCATTTGGTCTTTCTTCTAAGCATGAGTTTGAGTATGTGTGCCTAACCATTCTTTCCTGATTATCTAGTCAAACTGAAAGAAGAGACTCAAATTAGCAATTTGTATGTTATGTGATACTAAATTCAAGAGTTAGATGGAGGAATATTGAGAAATACATTTTTTTTTTCAGTGACTGGAAGAGAAACAGGTTTCTCTGGAGATTCATGGAGCCTGGCTGCTATTTGTGTTGTTTCCTACAACTATTCCCTAACCAGATTTCAAGTGTATGGATTTGATTTTGCTTTCCCTGTCTCTGGATGCTTGAGAATGATGCTTTGGACTTAAGCCAGAAAGAAATGTTCCTCCTCCTGTCTATGAACAGCAGAGGAGGCCTGTAACACAGCTTCATGCTCCAGAAATTCTGATGAAATGGTTGATAAAGGTCAATGCACTCAAGCAGAATAATCTCCATTCCATTGCACTCTCTGGATCCAAATGTAATTTTCTGCACACACAGAGAGTGAGGGCTGCATTTAGTCTCACAAAGAGTGGCCTGGAATATCAGTCTAAGGCCTTGGACCATGTTAACCTGAAGACAGCAAAACAATACTTTTTTTTTTCCCTCTTAGCAGCATGTCTAACCCATCCCTCGACTTGCAGGTGCATTAATCTCCCACATCCTTTCCCCCTAAGCCATTTGGCCTTCTCTTCTGCTCCTACACAAGAGCCCTACTATAGAAACCCCTGGTCAACCTGCTGATAATCTATGTACTTATGGCTGAAGGGAGTAGACACTTATTTGAGAACATTGTGTGTTAATCATGCCTTTTGTTTTCTGTATTTCTAATGTTATGACATCTAAGACCTTGGTAGACCTAGAGGGCATGCTCTTGCCAGGGCCCCAAATCCCCTGTGTATCAGTCAGCTTTCCTATCACTGAGATACAATACTTGACACCCACAATTTAACAAAGGAGAGGATTAATTAATTTAGCTCACAGTTTTAGGGGATTCAGTCCATAGCCAGCTGGCTCCTAGGCAGAAACACCATGGCAGGAGGGCATGGCAGAGCAAAGCTGCTCAGGCCTTGGCAACCTGAAAGCAGAGCAGGGGAACTGCCAGAAAGGAAGTGGCCAGGGACCAGATATAGTACCTGAGGTCATGTCTCCATGACCCATCCAGACACACCCAGAAGTGTGCCCCACCGATGCCCTAGGTGGCTCCCAAGCCAGTCAAGTGACACGATGAAACTGGTCTACAAGCATACCTTTTGTATGACAATCAGCTTGCCCAGAGTGCATGCCCCAGCCACCTGTTTTATGGGCTCTCACACTGTGGGCCAGTATCCCTCTGCTTTAATCATCCCAAGGCCAAATCCCAGACACCTGGAGATACAGTCCTTATATCTCAGGTCGTGTGGAAGATTTTCAAACTAGCCAATCCTAAACCTTCTTGCCCTGCCTTGCTTATTCCCATATAAACCACAATAAAGACTTTCGCTTCCCTTTTGCCCTCACTCCCTCTGCCTACTGGCCGACCTGATGCCTCCCCATTTGCCCTTGTGTGGCAAGACAGGAATAAGCCATCTTTCCTTTTCCATGGCAGTTATCTCCTGATCTGTTGGTCTCACCGTATGTGGACAATAATATAACCTACATTTTAAAATCCATTCCTTGGGCATTGATACAGTAAATTAGAGGCTGATCCCAGACCCATGGGCATTGGGCATTTCACAGATGGGTTCACTGTGATTTAAATTAATAGAATACAGACTCACTGCCTCACTTCATACTGTTTGTCACTTTTGTTCCAGAGAAGAAATGTGAGGCTTACAGGGGGCAGTGTGGCTTGCTCCTGGGAAGAGAAAGTAGCTGTTGAAATTCCTAGATCTGTGCTTAGGTTCCAGGATAAATCATACCTGACAACTCTGAAAATGAGGCTCTAGAGGCAAGAAAACACTGAGGTCCAGTGAAAGAAAAACAAGATGAAAGTTAGTGGACTCATGCACTCAGTTTTGCCGTTAACTGGCTAGCCCTGAGGAAAAAGGAGACATTTATTGAGTGCCTATCCTGTGGCAGTTGTTTTCACATATGAAGTGTGATTGAAAAATATGGTGACTTTAAAAAAAAATTATTATAGCAGAAGATACATTGTCAATACCCCTCAAAAATCCTCCCCTTTCCTTTAAACACATTTCTCCCATCATTTTTGCTACTTTCTGAAGCAGTTCTGGAAGTCCTTTTTCATGTCTTTATGAGGTGTGATAAAAAATACAGTGAATGCCTCAAAAGTGCAAGGTCCCAAGTTCAATCCCTCGTATATAAAAAAAAAAAAAATACAGTGACTGCTGTTGCCAAGTGCCATCCAATGGAAAGGCAGCCTTGAAAAAAACAGTGTGTTCTTGTCCACCTCATTCACCAGATCTGGCACCATGTGACTTCTGATTCTTCTCCAAGTTTGAAATGACCATGAAAAGTAAATGTTCGAATCATTTCAGGACATCAAGGCAGCCATGGCAATGCAACTAAAGACACTCACGAAAGAGAACTTGCAGAACTGCTTCAGAAAGTGGCAAGAACAATGGGATAAGCATATTCCAAGTGGGGGTGGGGAGTACTTTGAGGGAGATTAATTGCAATGTGTCTTTTACTGTAATAAAATTTTTATACACATTCATCTTATTGTTCAGTCACATCTCATATTACCTATGACCTTTCATTGTTTTTTATCTTTAATTCTTCCAAAACCTTTACAATTATCCCCTTTCCTGGATAATGGAACTGGGGCTCAGAAAAAGGGATAAACACACTCAAGGTCACACAGAAAATTAGCCAATTAGCTCCAGGTCTTTGGTGACTGTGAGTCCATGGTCTTTGAACAATGCTGTGCTGGACTTTGAAGCTTGAGGATTTTGAATTGTGAAAATAAAGGGTTAACCTTGACCAGAGGTTTCAAGCCCTCAGCTGACACACAAGGTTTCTAGTTTGGTAAACCTGGGATATTTGAAATGTTTAAAAATGATTGGTTAATTTTTCAACATTCAAAGAATTTTTAAATAAAATTCCAGATTTCTATCTTCTCTTGAAAGACTGCAACTTTAGGAGCTGAGTAGCTGTGACCCTCTGATTTGACACAAGGAGCATATTCTAGATGGCCATGCTTCCCATTTGTAGGCTGTTTCACTCATTTCTGTGAATTCCTGGGTCCTTCTGTCTGCTGAGTTCACAACCTCTGGACTAGATGGTGGCTGACTTTCTGACAGGTCACAAGAAAGAAATAAAGGGAAAGGGCCAGGGATTTAGCTCAGTGGTGCCACCGCTGCCTGCCTTGCCAGCACAAGGTCCTGAGTTCCACCGCCAGTACAAAAAAAAAAAAGAAATAAAGGAAAAGATCCTGTGTTGGTGGCAGAGCAGGAGGTGCAGAGAGTGGTTGGTTACACTCCGAGCAACAGGAAAAAAAAAGCCTGAGTAGGGAGGAAGCGGGCTATGAGCTGTGAAGGGTTCTACACATTTATACACATTGCCCCTGTTTTCATGACATGAAAAACAACTGCAGCCTGAGGTCTGTTCTTCCTACTCCCAGAAATAAATCTCTTCAAAAATTATCTTGAGAAATTCTAATGATCTCACTTACAGATGACAACAATGACGGCTCCATCTTTCTCATGACAGTCAGCAGGTATATAGAGCTCTTTCATTTGTTATTTAGCATGATTATAGTCACCATTGCGCAGCGGAGGAAATAGAACCCTTAGAGATGTGACCAGCTCCACATTAGGTTATTCAGTGAGTACAGGGCACAATCACAGTCCAGCATTCTGACTTCCATTAGACCATACTTCCCTGAGAATAAGATCTAAAAGCTTGGATAATGAGAGATCAAATATGCCAGCCCCAATCAGCCTATCCTTCCCTTACCTATTATTACAGAGTAGGCACTGAGCAAGAGAATAGAGAGGTATAATCTTCTTCGCCATTGGCCATCACCATGGTAACTGGCTAGGGCTTATTTTCAGGGAAATGCCATAGTACCATTTCCATTAGCTGTGCCTCGTCTGGGCGGGGGACACTAGCTGTCCAAGTCATCTGTGAGCCTCCATGGAACTGCATATGTCCAAAAACAGAATGTTTTTGCTATGCATATTTAATATTCTCCGTAGTACTGAGTTTTAATCCAGGCTCTGGGATACTCCCCAAGGCACATGTCTTTATAACCTGGGAAAAGAAGGAAGATGGCTCATCTAAATCATCTCCTGCAAAATGGTTCACATAACCAATTGAGAGGCTGATTGCACTCGGGCCTTCATCACTTGATGGGGTCAGACAGGTGGCACAGGTTTATGCTGTCCCAAGCGCAGCTGTTGCTAGATCTTTTGGCAATTTTAAAGCTGAGTTCTGGCCCCACGAGGAGGCCATGTGTTCTCCTCCTCCCTTTAGGCTGTTGTTTTAGATGAAGGAACAAAAATATCCACTGAGGAACACCATGCAAGCTGCCGGAGACGCTGTGGTGCTGTTCCCTGAGAAGTCTGCTGCAAAATGTTTAAGGCTTCTTAACTGCAAAGTATTTGGGAATCAGAGCTGCCAGAGTGATCCTAACAATTCCCCTGTCATAGCACTGCAAGACAGATGGCAAGTTCATTTCCTGATGGGTAGAAGAGAGATTCTCTATGCCTGGATTGGTTCAAAGGAAAAGAAAGACCCCCAAAAGGACAAATTGTAAATGTCCGTCCACCTACATACACAGCAATTTCCGAGACAGACAAAGAGTTCTCAGTCCCCACAACATGGCCTTCCTTGGCTTTGCCATCTAAGTGCTTTCAATGGGTGATCACAGACAATACACAAAACCAGCATGAAAGTTTGAGATGGTTTAAAGTATAAATGGCTGCAAAAGAGAAAGTATAGTTGAGATGATATTTGCAACATCTCAGAAATAAATCCATATGATAGTCCACCAGGACAGCGCTTGTCTGGAGCTCTA